GAGAGAGAGAGAGAGAGAGAGAGAGAGAGAGAGAGAGAGAGAAAGAGAGAGTGAGAGAGAGAGAGAGTGAGAGAGAATCTTATAATCACTATGGAAATCATTATGGTGATTCCTCAAAAAACTAAAACTAGAAATTCCATTTAACCCAGCCATTTCCCTTCTAGGTAGCTTTTCTAAATAGTTAAAGACATCATATTACAATGATACATGCATATCCATATTTATATCAGTATAATTCATAATGGCTAAATCTTGTTAGCAGCCTATATATCTATCAAGAATAAATAAAGAAAATATATTTACACACAATGGAGCACTACTCTGCTGTAAAGAAAGATAGACTTGAATCATCTGCAGGAAAATGGATACAGCTTGAGACCATAATGTTAAGTGAAATAAATAGGACAGACAAGTTTAAACATTGCATAGTTCCTCTTATATGAGAAACCCAAATTATAAATAAAGAAAAAAAATACAGGTAATAGGAAAAATACAGGAAGTAGGGAGATAGGTCTTTCTCAAATATGAATCAAGAGATGGAGGAAGAAAAGGGAGGAGAAGAAAGAGGATGAAGAGTGAACTAAGATGTGATATGTACATGTACCATCTCCACCCAAAGAATGCCAGCATTCTGAGCCACAAACATGTGCTAGTAAAAACAATGAGTCTTCATTCCTTTTAGTCTCTTAAAGAATGAAGGCTAAAACAAATGACTATCTTAATACATTACCTGGCCAGTACATTCAAATAATGAATGTAGTCACTGTAAACTATTTCCATGTGTCATTACATTTAAAAAATTGTCAGAATAATACATTTTTCCCCCTCCCTTTTCCTATTAACATTGTGACTACTTGCACTTGAAGTTGAGGGTGGGAGTGACATTTCCTTAAGAATATCTTTTTATTTCATTGTTTAACATTTTTTTTTTTATTAGTACATTTGTATAGCACAAAATGTTTACATTCCTGTGGGCAGTTGGTACACGGACATAACAGATCTTAATTTTTTTCATTCCTTTTCCTTTTCCTCCCTCTCCCCTCACTGAGGATTTCCCACCAGTCAGGGGAGATTCACAACAGTTCAGTTTATCTGGAGACCGGTGTGTAGGTACAGTGTTCACAATAGAGACCAGAGATAGGACTAAAATAAAGAAATGTGGTGCAGATAAAAGAAAGGTGGAAGCCAGAGAAAGGACATGAGAGATGTACTCATGGAACAGGGAAAAGAAGAGACAAAGGACAAATAAGTAGACTCAGGATGAGGGATTGAAAAATGAAATATAGAATAAGGAATATGTAGGGCAATGAAGAAATAAATGAGTTGCACCCACAGTGTTAAAAATCATATGGTTCTGGAATTCAGAAGTATAATTAGGACCAGGTGCAGTGGTGCATGTCTTCAATCCCAGCACTTGGAAGGCTGAGGCAGGAGGATCACTGTGAGTTCGAGGCCAGCTTGGGCTACAAGGTGAGTTCAAGCCCAGCCTGAACTGCATAATGGAAACCGATCTCAAAAAATAAAAGGGTGATAAAGGCCAAAATCTAGGTGTTGGTGGTATTATCTTTCTTTCTTTCTAGAGACCCTATCAGGAAAGTCATTTTCTTTTTCTGGCTTTTTGAGACAGGATCTCACTATGTAACCCAGGCTGGTCCTGAACTCACTACGTAACCCAGGCTGGCCTTGAATTTGCAGCAATCTTCATGCCTCAGCCTCCCAAGTGCTGGGATTACAGGTGTGCACCACCACACCCAGGAGAAAAGCCATTTCCTTCAATTTATTGGCTTCTACAGGCTTTCTGGGTTTCTTGGCTGATGGCCATTCCTTCACATCTTCAAAGCACTGCTCTGATCATTCTCTGAGGTTCAGCTGCATTTCTTGACAATTCATCTGCAGCCTCCAGCTTCCCCCTTAATTAGGAAAGCACCTCTAGGGATTCATGTGGTTACACTGGGGTCCCTATCTTAAAGTCCATAAAAGTCACATCTGCCTAGTCCCATTTTCACAAGGGCTGGAACCAAGATGCACACATCCTGGGACCGCTATCATGCCCATCAGAGCAATTATACAGCCTTACATGAATCCCCACCCCTTTTCTGTTCCCCATGGAATCAGGCAGTACACTACAGGTAAGTGCATTTGCAGTCTAGGTAGGTCATGTCAAACATGTCTAGGTAGATCATGTTAATCATGTTTTAGTCTATATATCATTTGAAATGTAGAAATAGATGTCATTCTCCAAAAATTAAGGTATATATTTTGCTAAATATAATTGAGTATACACTTTTTATTATCACCTAATATAAGATGGCAAGAAAATAAGCAGATAACTCATGAAATCGTTTATGAAATCTCCCACTGTGCTAGCATGGTCCCCAGGATTAGGTAGCAGCCCCTGAAGTGGGCTGTTCATTGGACTCTGCTTGACGATGTCCAGGGCTCATGGTCAGCATATCCCTTCTTTCCTTGACTCTTCTCTGCTAAGGTGCTTGGGGATTTAGAGTGACTTTTGGTGTTCCTGGATGGCAGCTTCTGTTGACCTCCACAAGATGCTTAAGCATCTTCTCAGAGGAAGACATCTCATTTTTTCCCTTTAGCTGAGGGGCGTTTGGCGGCATTCATTCCCTCGTTCATAGGTGTGCATGTGCTTGCATCATTTTAACCGGAAACTGGCCCTCTATGGAGAACACCAGCTGGAACTCTCCCTGGAATTTGATTCTACTATCTGGTTCTGATTCGGATTCATCCTGTTTTCATCTTAACCACTGTTGGATTAGCTCCCTGGACAAGCTGAAAATAGAAGCAAAAATTCACATGAGAAAGAAAAGAAGGCCTGGAGGGAGGAGGTTAGTTGTGATTTGTCAGTTGCTATTCAAAATAAGCCTGACCTTTCCTTAGAGAGAACACAGGAAGGAAATACAGTGGCTGGAATTATCCACAGATTGAGCTATTCAGTCTGTTGTTTCCTTCATATGCAAAGTAGCATTTGTTTGCTGAGCACAGAGTTCCAAGTATTTTTCTAATTATTAGGGCTATTAGTACTGGGTATCTTCATGGGTACCATTGGGTGAGTTTTTATATGTGCAAGAAAGCACATTACATATGTCTGTATCAATGCATCCATAATCACGTAAAATCATTTCACATTTGTTAAACACTTGACTTTCCAAGTTCTTTCGTGTTAGGTATTTCATCTGGTCTCACAGCAACTCAGAAAGTGGTCAGTGCAGATATGAAATCGGAGTCATAGAGGGATTAGTTCTCTTATCATTTCACTTGGGCCCAGGGCTAGTGAAGGTTTAGGTTAGAAAGGATTTCTCAACGTTGAAGCCAAGGTTCTTCCTATTTGATTATGTAAAATAATAATTTCAGTAATTCAAGAGTCTGAACAAGGTTTTAATGAGTTCAGAACTGTCAGAACTATAATACTAATTTTCACTTACAATATATATTTAGCAGTAATTGACTATAATTTGGTGGTGAGGGAATAAGAAAGAAAAAAGAAGATAGCATTTCATGCAATATTATATAAAAATATAAAAAGATCTTGAAAAATGCAATATTATATAAAGAACTAAGAGAGACTCAGAAAATAAAACAGTTTTGTTGCTGTACTGTTTTAGAAATAGCACATGGTTTCTACTGCATGATGAATTTAAAAATCAAACAAGAAAATGCAGACATAACTTCTGAGTTTAGATTGTCCAAAATGCACAGAGCTGAGTGCTTTCTGATCAGTGTAATTAATTCCATTAAAAATAGGATGATAGGCCTTTAAGTCTAAATTTATACTATAGAATTTAGAATTTGGAGCAGGGGAGATAGCTCAGCAGTGCAGGGTCTGCCTGGCAAGGGTAAGGTCCTGAGTTCGATTCCCAAAGACTAGAATTCTACCTTTTACCTCATATATCTTCTTTCCTTAGGGTGGTTAATCTTGGTCATTTATACAAAAATTATTTTACTAAAAGAGTCAACATATTGTTTAGGGATGATACAGGTGTGGAATGACTTTCTGGATTGTAGATAAGATTTAGTCAGGTTGAAGCTGTTTTTCTTTTTAAGTCAATCTAACAGCAGACACAAAACCTCCTTTTTTCTGGTTTTACTTGTCAATTTTCACTATATGCCAATTTTTAATTTTCTAAAAATATACTCTAAAACAGGTGATCTGTTCTTTTAAATCTAATAATCTCTTCCTACTTTTTGGAATATTTCTGTTACCTACTAAATATTGACTCCACATACAAAGAACTCCACATACAAAATTATTTTTCCAAATTCTCTTGTGTATTTTTCTGGTATTTGCAGCATTTATGAATATTGCATTTAGTTAGATAGATTAAAAGTGCTTTGGTTTTGGAATATTACTTTAGTCTGACAATAAGGTCTAGCTCACATTAAGGGTAGTCTCATAAGGACTGTCCAGTGACATGGTTTTACCTCAAGCAAAGAGCATAAAATGAGTCTGTAGGACTTTATTCAGCAAAATTGAATGTGTTTCATTAGGAAGTTTTGCTCAAAGAGAAAGTCTGCATTCTGAGAAAATTACATAACAACCATCTTCCCCTAACCTGAAAGCAAAATACAAATTTCTAAAAGTTCCCAGCATTTCATGCCCCTGTGTTCCCCATGACCACCTAGAGACATGGCTGAATCGAGAGGGAGTACTGTGGACCCTCAACAGGCTCAACATCAAGAGTCTGTGCGGTAACTTCGAGGTCCTTCTTGAATTAGCTGTGTTTTTTCATTTGCATTGGTAGGCTGGAGAACAACTGGAAAGTCCACACCTAAAAATAAACAAAGAGAAACAATAAACCCTCTTTTTATCAACTTACATTTCTTTTACTGGGGCAAGTGGTGGCTATTTTTTGTTGAAATGATAATTAGCAAATCAATTCAATTCCTTAAGCTCTAAACCCTGCTTTCATCAGTGCCCTCATTGGGAGTTTACTGAACCTGGTGAAGCTGAACTTTAGTTTTGACCATCTTGTGGTGCTGGTCACTTTCCTCATAGCTGAGACACAATGTCTGACTCCTGCAATGTAAAGGAGGAATGGTTTATTTTGGCTCACAGTTTTATCCCATAATCAGATGGCTCCAAGGCAGGAAGGCACGGTGGAACAGGCTAGGAGGAAAGCTGCTCACATCATGGCAGCTAGGAAGGAAGGGGCAGTGAGACAGGGAGAGAGAGAATGGGGGGTAGAGAGAGAGGCCTCTTCTGTCCAGACCTCATCTCCTAACAGGAAGTCAGGTATAATCAATGCCCCCATAATCTAGTCACCTCTCAAACCCCTGCAGTTGAGTGCTAAGGCTCTTCTTTGGGGGAAACATCTAGACATAAAACATGTGCACACAGGGATAGAAATAGGGCCATATTACAGTTGTGCAGATTGCACACTGTAGAATCCAGGAGTCCCTTGTCAGTAACACTGTAATATATATCAATTTGAAAGCTGTCTTTCAGACTTTCATAATGTGTAATTACAAGCATGATCCTCACTGGGACAGGAATCAAAACCCAGGGCTTATTTAGGTGGAGAGTCTCACAGGAAGCTCTTCACATAAAGCTATTGACCTCAAATAGGTATGCTCTCTCTAAGCCACTATGCTCTTAAATTTTCAAAGAGATTTATTAATCTTGAATTTTGGTGCTGAGATGAAGGAACTGTCCCAGAATGTTTGATGGCAAGCCAATGAGTACATTAATTGGCAAAGCTTTCAATATCCATCTGTTCTAAGAAATCCTAAGATGATAATTTAGCTTAATATAGTACATGGAAGAGTACTAGTATGTCTAGTATGACTTTCAGAAAGAAATAAAACAAGGAAGAGAAGCAATATTTGAGGAACTGATGACTGAGAATTTTGTAGAGTTGAAAAGACATCAATTCACAGGTCCAAGAACCAGCCAGGATAAATGAAAGACAAACTCATATTTAAAGCACCTTAGTGACAATGAAGACTAACAAAAACAATGGTTGCAAGAGCAACATACTCAATAGCAAGTATGAAAGCCAGAAAAACTATGCAATTTTATTTTTAATATGCTGAAAGAAGATAGCTATCAACCTAAAGTTGTTTACAAACTCATATTACAGTTTTTCTCAAAGCACTATACAATAAAAACAGAAAATGTGCTACCAGAAGATTCATTTGAAAAGATGTAATTTGAGCAATAAAAAAACAAAGAACCATAAATTAGCAGAACTATAAATATGTCAGTAAAAACAAATTATTGACTATATAAAGCAATATCAATAATTTATGAAGCTTAAATTGAGATAAAACTAGAATACAAAAATAGTATATGTCAGAAAGAAGACGGTCAGAATTAAAGTGCTATAAAGTCTTGTTTGGGAGGGAATAGAAAGAATTCATTTTAAACTTTGATAACTGAGGTCTGCTTTTATATTTCTAAAGTAATCCTAATAGGATAAAACAGGTAATAAAGTTTCTAAACCAGAGAAGGGAAAAAATGAGTAAGAAAAATATACTCCATCAATTCAAAAGAAAGAAAAGAAAAATAGAAAAATAGTCAATTTGAAGTGATAGTTATAATAATAAAGTATTAACTAAAAGCATGTGCCCAGCACTGTTTCCAACACTTTTATGTCTGGTAATTCATTGTACTGGTGAGCCCTCCCATTGCCAGTGTAGGGGACAGCGACTCTTAGCCTATCATTTTAAGATACAATAATTCTAGTCTTAGTGCAAGCCTCAGAATGTGCCTTGAGAAACATCCTGGAGGGGTTGTAAAAAGTTAACTTTGCAGTCCTGCCTTTGCCCTGGAATGCTTCTCCAAAGACAAAGAACAACTGGGCCCAGATAACCACCTATGACCCTGCCTGAGTTGTTTCATCCCTTCCCTGGCCCTAGATAAACATTGTAACCATAAAGGAAATGTATGGTTATCTAAAAGGGGACACATAGAACAGAGTACAGAAAGTATATATCATTGTGGCTGGGCTCATGACCAGAGCCTGACCTGGTCACATGGCACAAGGAAAACAATGTGTGACCAGGGCTACAACATTCCAATCTGTTACCATGGAAACCAAAAATGCATATAAGGTGGAAGCAAAGGCAGGCAGGGGTCCTGTTCCTGACCTGCTAGTCAGGGATGTGCGGTGACTGGTCTAAAATTAATAAACTCTGTTTGCCCTAAACAGAGTTCTTTGGTCTTCTGTGGAATTCAGCCTGTTTGCCATTACACCAGGAACAAGTATGTATCACTTGCAATTTAAAGGAGAGATTTATGTTGGCTCACGGTTTCAGAGGGTTGGCCCATAGTTGGCTAGCTCCAAGGCAGAACATTGTGGTAGAAGAGTTTGGTGGACCAAAGCTAATCACTTTATGTGGCTGGGAATCAGAGCCCAGGGAAGGATCACCAGGAAAGATACAACATCCAAGGCATGACCGCAGTGACCCACCTTCAGCTGGACTCCACTTCTTAATAGCACAGTCAGCTAGGAACATCAGTAGATTCACTCACTGATGAGAATAGCATCCCCATGGTCCAGTCACCTCTCCAGGAGTCTCTCAATACAGTCAATTTGACAATTAAGCTTAACTGTCACACTCATGTAATAGCTATAATTGTACTATGTGATATGGTTACTATTAAACCCATTTTATAGAGGAAACGGGGGGCACAGACTGTTTGTCTAACTGGCCTTAGGTTACACTGGTAGTAAGTAACAGAGCTGGTATTCATGTCTGGGCAATATTTCTCAGAGGCTGTTCTCTTAAAGACTATTTTATGCTGTTTCTCACAAAAAGGAAGTTAGAAAAATCAAAATATATCATGTTATAATAAATATAAATGCACTTAATGCTTCATTTAAAATTTTATTGGCTATATGCTATTTACCAAAGATGTATAAAAACACAAAGAAACATATAAGTAAAAGGATGGACCACATAAACATGCAGAAAAAGAAAGTTAATAAATCACATTTTAACAAAACAGAATATAAAGCCAAAACATTGCTACAGCTAGAGAGTAACTACATAATAATAGTGTTTGATTAATTGCATAGCTATAAAAATTCTAAACATAGACACACTAATAACATAACCTCAAAATATATGAAGTAAAAATTGATGGAACTTTATAAAATAGAAAAATCCATCACCACAGTGGAAAATTTGATTCTTTCAATAAGTGACTGATGAAGCAAGCAAAAAGATATGAAGAATTTGAAAAGTATCATGACTGAATTGTATCTATACCCAGAATTTATATGTTCTAACTGCCATTATCTCAGAAACTGAGCACATTGGAATAACTAAAGTCTTTGAAGTTTTTAGGGGTGGGTCTTAGTTCAGTGGAACTGGCATTCCTATAAGCAGAGGATATTTGCATTTAAAGAAAACACCATACGAAGAAAGAAGATGACCACAAGACAGAGAGAGAGGTCTTAGAAGAAATGAACCCTGTTACTTTCCTTGAATTCTGACCTTTAGCATTCAGAAATGAAGGAATAAATTTCTGTTGTTTAAACCACTCAATCCCTGGTACTCGGTTATGGCAGCTCTAGAAAAATGAATATGTACAATAAACTAGCGTTAGTAGGTATACTATGGAGCAATGAACTTAGCAAATGCAGAAAGTATTTAACAATGTAGAACATTTATTCATATTATTAATTTATAGGCTGTAAAACAATTCTCAAGATTTGTTTGTGAAAAATGTTTCACATGTCAAAAGTATTGACATGGTAATGTCAATATTCTCTATCACAGTAGCATTAAGCTAAATAAAAACAAGAAAAAAGAATTAGAAAGCACCCACAGTCTTTAAAAAGTGACACATAGAAGCTTTACCTCTAGATCAAAGAAGAAAGCCATAATGGAAATCAGAGAATATTTAGAAGTCAGATGATAGAACAATACAAGAATTCTGTGTGTGTGTGTGTGTGTGTGTGTGTCTGCATGTGAAACTAAAGTGGTACTTCTAAAAATTTATAGTTTTGTTTTTGTTTTTGGTTTTTGTCTTCTGTCTTTTTGAGACAGGGTCTTACGACGTGGTTCAGGCTGGCCTTGAGCTGACTTCGTAGCCCAGGCTGGTCTCAAACTCGCAATGATTCTCCTGTTTCAGCCTCCCAATAGCTGGGATTGCAGGCATGTGCCACCATGCCAGGCAAAATTTATAGTCTTAAACACTTACTATAAGAAAAGAAGTTGAAAACTAAGAAATATAAAAAGTAAGAAGTTTGGATTAAGAAACATCGTAAAGAGAAACAATAAAAATAATTGTGTAGAAACATAAAACCAAAACTTTTGAGATCAATAAAATTGTCAAACATATGGTGAGAATGGTCTTTTTAAAAAGTAAGACAATGATGTGGATATTTTAGATGTGTGGAAGTCAGTAAGAGGAAAACTTGAGGCACCCTTTTAAAAATGGATAGGTATATAAGTAGTTAATTAAATGTTACACTCACGATAAATAAAGTTCAGTTTAAACAGAAATATAAGAGAATTTTTCTCTAGATTAGAAACCTAGACTTCTGATGCAACCTTGAAAGCATTCTCACCATTTTACTGCTAGTCTCTGCAAACACAGAAAGGCAAAAAAGTAAACAAAGTGATAAAAGATGGAAAGAAGAATCAAGACTTTACTCACCAATGATATACACAGCTATACAGAAACCTTGAAGAATTTATAGGTAATTAGATATGGAGAGTTGGGTGAGTTTTTTGTGTTCAACATCAATTATTTTAAAGGATGCACTTCCATATGCCAAAACTTAATGTATCAATTAGATAGTATAAAATACTCACT